GATGCATTTTCATAACTGATCGTTCATTCTCTCTGAATTAAGTTTTTTTCTTCAAGAAGGAAGTATCCATTTTAGGATAAATATTCAGACAGCTCTGAAGGAACTTCCCTGCTGATAAATCTGAATAACCACAGAAGGTCACCCTTTCCCTAAAGTATGATTTCAGACAGTATGCTGAGCTGATAGTGGATTTGCATCTTCCTAATAATTTGATTATGATTTTTTTTTGTCTGAAAGAAAAGGTAAAAGTAGTAAAGAATGTGGTATGTACTCTGAACATAAAATGATCAGGAATGTAGAGCTCCAAGTTTGTAGCCAACCAGCCTTCATTGGCATATATCATATAGAAACCTGCTGTTCTGGTGTATCAAAAGAGAAAATATAGTTAGTGTAATTACTAGATAGGTAAATGTTAGAATATCAAATAAGAATAATAAGAAGGTATTACTGCTTGACATGACAGGCACTGTCACTAAAATATTTTGCTTTATATTTTTGGTATTAATTTCTACAAAAGATGCTGAAAGCTTAGGAAGAGCTCTGAAAAGAGCTAAAAGAATGATTAGAGTTAAAAAAAACCAACCCAAGATTAAGAAAATTAATTTATCAATGACAATGGTCAGACCATTAGCAAGTTACGTATTAATAGAATCTGCACAAGGAAGACATTTCTGTTAGTAGACCATCCTTTAATCTAGGAAAAAAAGAGATAATAAGAAATAGTGGCTGAAGCTGTACAAATTTAAACTATTAATAAGAATAAAGATTTTAACCAGAGAGATCAGTAATCATTAGAACAATACCATGGGGGATATGGTTTTAAACTTTTTTTTCAATTCATGATTTCTGAAATGTTTTTTTTAGAGAACATACACTGCTTTTCATCAAATTTTGTTCTGGTGACAATGTGCTTGCCTTTCTTCACTACCTTTCACATATCTCCTGTTGTCCACAAAAATACCTGAGGACAAGTTCTTTATTGCTAAAGTCACTAAGTGCAAATGAACCCTTTTCTGAAAAGTTTAGCTAAACAGATCAGATTGTTGGGTGTAGAATTTATTGGGTATGGTCCTGTGGTGTGTGATACACAGAAATATAAATACGTTGTTCTAGTGGCCTCTCCTCATAAAACACATTCATATTTGCGGGGCGAAGAAGGTTCCCTCTTTATTGACAAAGTACTCCCTGCTATCACAGTAGCAAAGCTCTCCTCTCGGGTCCCTCAGTCAAGAACTTCTTCATCTGCTTTTGGTACTTCCAGAGTATTCTCCCTGCTGCACCCCGCTTCCTGTTTTTCTTCTTTAAATCAAGTTTCATTTTGGGTCGGTTGTTATTTCTGGGTTTGACCAGGAATTTTCACAGCCTGAATGTCACTTCAAGATGAATCCTTACTGTGTTTGGAAGAGATTAGCTCCAGGATGGCATAACTACTGTTGTTTTGTCTGTAAGTAGACTATCAGACCCTGCAAATAAGAGTCTTAATTTTTTTTTCCAAGGTACTTAATAAAGCAGAAAGACAAATTTGGAAATGAAGTGCAAATTAGATTTGAATGAGCCCTAGAAGCAGTTCATACTGCTGGGCAGGTTGTAGAATTTTGACTACCTCCATTGAAGTTTGTGTAATATGGAAAGCACATTTCATTTACAGCTGGAGATGCTGCTGGCATCTGTTTGTTTGTTTTTTTTTTAAACTACTTCTCCCCTTCTGAGGGTCCAGATACCATATAAACCAACAACAGGTACTTGGCCAATGTGTGCAAACTCTAGAATGGACTCCCCTCCCTTATTTATCTTGTTTTAGTTAGAAATTACTGACTTAATTGGCTTTGCTTTCTTACTGATAGGTAAGCCTGTACTATTTGTACCTCTGTCCATCATGCTTTACACTGAAAAGCAGGTACATTTTAATTGCCAAGATAAACTGCTGTCAAGTTCTGTGACTCAGCAAGTACATTGGGTACCTTTGCTACTGGGCCAGTGCAAGGAATAGGCTTTTAGAAGTAGATAAACAAAGAAATCTTTCCTATCAGTGATCAAATATATATGGTTCCGGTTGTCAGAAAAATAAGAGTTAAATGCTGATGGAGTATGTAGTGCTGTTATTACTTAAAAAAACCACAAAAAACAGTTTCTTTATAGATTGGAAGCAAAGAAAAACATCAGTTCTTCTTCTTGAGCTTTTTTTGATATGTTTCTTCAAATTTGTTTGTATAAGTGAAGCTGTGTGGTCTCATATGTAACTTTCCAATCAGGTTTGAGTACACTCTGTGGACAGCATGTCTCACATCAGTGCCTCATTATAAAAAGATGAAATAACTGAGTGTAATTCCTATCTTTAATCTAATTTGCCTTTAGTGTTAAATGTTTGATATTGTATAAATTAATCTGATAAATGACTAGTAAGTAATTTTTCTGTAAGTGTGCAAGAATGTCTGCAATTCCATACTCCAAACACTTGGACATGCATAAGAATCTCATTATACTGATTTTTTTTGTGATGTACAGAAGGGCCCATGGGCCTTGTACAGGTTTAGTCTGGCAAGCAGTTTCAAAATGGTATCATCTTTACATGTATTTCTTTACACAGCAATCCTAAGCTGGTGTTTCTTAGTCTGTCAGTGCTTACTCCATGAACATTTAAAAAAAAATAGCCAAAAATATGAACACTAGAGTATTATGCTACTTGGGAGAAGTTGTACCACCTTTTCTCTTTGACTCTGCTAGTTAAATTTTTACTGAAAGATAATGAAACTTTGGTAATATGCTATTAAAACCGGATGTGCTTAGCTAAAAAGAAGTATTTTATAAGTTTGTTTTGCTAGCCTGTAGGTGGAAGGCACAGTTGAGATCACACTTCTCAAAATATCAGTTGATTGCTGTACAGTACCTGTTTGTCTCTTTTCTGATTGGGTAAAGCTGTTGCTGGGCTGATACTGTTTTGACCAAAATTAGAAAGTCAATATAAACGAGTCAGACTAGACTGCCTGCTTTTTTTCAGTTCTCTCTTCTGATTCATCAGTTGTTTGTTTCAAATTCTTACAGCCTTTGTGAATTGGGAGTTGTGCCAGCAAAGGTGAAAGCTCTTAGTGGTTAGTCAGTATGAACGTTCATAAAAATTTGTCTTCATGACATTTAGATGTTTGCAACAATATGATGTCTAGTTAAAAAAAATATGTAAGTGGGTCCTATGGAGTGATCGTGTTAAACACATGGATGTGAGAACCTGTTCCTCACTTAGGAGACTGCCTGCTTCTCATATTCAGGGATAGAATTCATCTCCTTGACCCTAAGAGGATGTCTTGTGGCAGAGGCTTGAGACCTGAAGCTTGTTGATGAAGGAATGTGTGAAAGAAGGATTCACTCCTTACACATCTTTTTTCCATCAGTATTAGTATGTATGCTTCTAACAAGTTGGACTGTGCCTGCTAACTAACGTTATTAATACCAGAGAAGATTAGAATATCTGTGAATATAACTATGATATTTGAAGAAAAACACCATGTAAATTGTTTAGCAAAATTATAGGTTAGTCCAAGTACAGTAGTTTAGCACCTAAGGGTAGATGGCTGTGCTGTACTTGAAGAAATGCTGTTACTTTACCTCTACTGCTAAGATAAAGCTATGGACTTGACTTTTTGGAAATGAGTAGGTTTTGATGCAAATGACAGAGGCAGATGTTTTAATGAGTTCGTACTTGGGTTAGTGCAGACTTTCAGAATTTATTTTTTTTCTTCTGCCATACAGGTGGGTAAGAAAAAGATGGGGATATTGTTGAATGCCGTTCAGTTAGGATCCACTGGTCTTAACAAATAAAAGTTATTTCTCAGTAAGTCCAAAATGAACCAACAAGAGATGTAATTTTGTATCCCACTGAAGGGTAGGGATAGAAAGAGCTTTAAGAGAGCAACTTGGTTAAATCATAAGATCTCAAGATGTGGTATAAAAATAGAGAAAGTATTTCTCATTTAGCTATGGTAAGAATAAAAGGGTAGCAAGAACAGGTAAAATCAAAATCAGAAAAAAACAAAGCACAAAATGAGGTGCAACTAGAAAGGGATATTAAAAAACATGAGAAAACTTTCCATAGTACATTAATAGTGAGAAGGAAATAATTGCTATAGTGTTCAGAAGATGAGAATTATTGTCAGATGCCACTGTGAATAGTGAAGTGGGGAATGCCTTTTTTTCTTCTTTTTCTGAAAGGGTTAAGAATGATCACATGATTGATCTCTACTCCAGCTTGAGTTCTTTTATCACTAAAAAAGGAGGTAGAGCATATTTAAGTGTCTTCCAACCAGCTAGGCCTTAGGAAATTGACCCTTTGGTGTTTACAAAAGGACGGAAGGGCTAATGTCTCTGGGATTCTTGATAAGCTATGTAGGATGGTATCTACCTTTAAAAGGAGAAAGAGGTGAAATTAGGGAACAACAGACCAATCAGTTTAGATTATATTTCTGGTAAAAGTCTGGAACAAATAATTTATCTATTTATAAGCAATTGGATTTAGCAAGGAAATGAGTAAGAGCTAACTTGGATTTAACAGTAACAAATCAAGAGGAAGTAGTTTAACCTCTACAATGGGTAACAGTCCTAGAAGAGAAGAGAAGGTGGTGGTCTTTGGCCATCACAACTGTCATTTGCTTACTTGAAAGATTAGTAAGCTCTGGCCCATATGATTATTCTAGTTATATAAAGTGCTGCTTTAAGATGTTTGAAGATTACATTGGGCTTGGTAAAAATAGACGATTAAGTATATCTCATTAGTAATTACCCCAATGCTGTATTAGTTCTGTCAGATGTTTTTGATTTATTTTGTAAACTGGGTTATGAAAAATAGTAGCATAAAAATTATTTCTAGTTTCCGTACTTGGCATTCCTTCAGTTGTTCTGGACCTGTTATTAACTGAATTATGAAGCAAAGTAAGTATTATCTTCTTTTTAAGCAGCTAATAGCTTCTGATGTTTTTTCTGTGTAATATGTTTTATTTATTTTATTGCAGGATTTGGTTATCCGTATCATCTTCATTCTTGGTAATTTAACAGAAAACAATAACCAGGCCCGTGAGCAATTTTTTAAAGAAAGAGGAAGTGTTAACACCTTAATATCATTATTCCAAACCTACTATGAACTTGATTTGAATGCACAGAAACGGTACCGTGAAAGAGGAGGGGAAGAAAAAAAACACCCAAAGCATCCTTCAGAAGCAGAAGATGTTCTAATAAAACTGATAAGAGTGCTGGCCAACCTCTCCATTCATCCCAATGTAGGAGCAGCTCTGGCAGCCGCCCATCGCATTGTAGAATTACTTGTTACTGTACTAGGTAATAAAATCTATGTTATGTGTGTTATCTTTGTTCAGTCTGTAAGGAGAGTTTAGAGTTTTTCTCCTTGACCTTCTTATCTAGGTTGAACCATAACTAAATTGGTTCCATTGCTAAAATAACAAAGTCAAATCTGCTGATATTCATAAACTGTTTTATGTAGAAAGCCTGTTTGAGCCAGTGGAAGCATTGCTGCTTTGGTACTGACATTTTAATGTCTGGGGAAGGATGTTGTACAAGTGTTTGATTCAGTGATAAGATTTGCAGATATGATCATTAACAGTAAGGAAACAAATTTTGTTGTAAATACATCTCACTGAGAGTTCATATATAAGGGAAGTCTGTTCTTATCAGGTGTGCTACATGCATGTGTTTGGTGGTGGTTTTTTTTAAGGTTGCAGGTTTTGTGACTGTTCGGGATTAAGTATTCTTCTTGTTCCCTGCACCCATAACTTTCAGCCTTCTCTAAAAATTTCCCCTTATTTTTTCTCTTTCTCAGATTTCAATATTTATCTCTTTCAGGTGGAAGGGAGTGTCCCTTTCCCTTCAAATGGAGGCTTAGGACTGTAGTTCCTTTATCACTTACTGATCCCTTTGTAAATCTAATTACAGACTGGGACTTGGCAGTCTGTTCTCTCCATAACGGCGTTAGCAGTGACAAGATACATCTCAAAGAACACAGTAGATTTTAGTGTGTGATAGGAACATGAAATATTATGTAAAGACAATTAACCTGACTATATGCTAGTTTACCGGTTTTACCAGCAGCCATGGGAGATTAGAGAAGGCAGACTCACAATTTCGTCTGTTCTGTCTTAAGCCCTGGAGGAGCTTCCTGGGTTGGAACTGTCTTAATCGTTGTATAAGTGCTTTCAAGCTTCAGAGCTTCTCTCTGCCACCCTCCCCTTTTCCTGAGCACTGTTGTCAGTTAGTTCGCTACAAAATGTTCTCTCTCCTTAGGAATTTACCCCTCTTTTATTTCCTTCACTCTTGGTTACCTCAGATAAATCAATATACACAACTTGCAGACTTGCTGGTGTAATTTTGCCCTGGTTAACACTCTGTCAGGAACTCTAAGAGAGAGTATCTTTCAAATATTGTTAAAGTCGTCTTTTTTTTTTTTTTTTTCTCCCATGGTACCTGACATTTCAGTATAATAGTCCTTGGTATTTCTCCGTGTCCATCACACAGGCCTATTTCTGCATATGTATGCTCCTCTGTTCCATCTTAAAACAGCAAATAGGATGTATAAAATGTCTTAACTAGATTTTAAACCATGTTGCCTTAGTCACAATGATTTCTGTAGATGAAGAGTTGGAAAGAGTGACTTTGTATTGCCGTTTTTGCTAATCAGCTGTTCCCGTTAGCTTCTGCCATGGTACTGAAAAATAGAATAGTTATCTGTAATAGTGGCCATGTAAACTATGACTCAGTTTGCTTCTGAGATATAACGCACTGTGAAGTTAGATTCACGTGCATGTATGTAATTCCATATGCATATAGTGTTTGTTTTGTTTTTTTTACTATCAGAATACAAGTCAGTTGATGACTGTGAGGAGTTGGTCATCAACACTGCAACAACAATAAACAATTTATCCTACTACAAAGAGAAGAGTTCTGCTGTTCAAGACAAGAAGTTACGCATTGCTGAAAGTAAGGACTTTTAAACTAGTACTTCTTGTATAGCTTTTTGAAAGTGAAAGTTATTCATGCTATATTTTGACACTACAGAAAATAAAGACACTGACAGTGTTTTGTGGTATCATATTGCAGGAACATAAAGTTCATAGAGCTGAATTATCCAGTAATGATTTCTCATTCTTTTGGAACATAATTCTATGACTTGTGTGAAAATAGTTAGGTCAGCAAATCCCCTTCTTTTCCTCCCCAGATTTGCCATATTGTTTTCTGTTTAGCAATTTTTGGTAGACTTGTTCAAAATCCGTATGCCTGAGCCAAAATAATCATGTTGCTTTTTAAGAGTATGGTAAGGGAGGTTTTTTTTCTTCTTAGTACCTTCTAGACCTGCAAGATCTGATTTCTGTCTTTTTCTGCCTTATAAATCCATTGGCAGTATAGGAGTTGTGTGATTCTCTCCCCTCTGACAGTATGGACAACAGTCATATTTTGGTGATGTGTAGGAACTGCGTCTGAGTTCTGGGACTCATTGTGTTGATTTTATACAAAAGGTAGAGAGTCTGTATCTTGCATACTTTTATCTCTAGACAAGATGTGGGGGAGAGATGGAGCCTGAAGTTTGCACAAAAGGTAGAATGAGGAGTAGGAAAAAATACTCTGGCTGTCAACCTAGTGCCCTGACTGGTAGACGTCATATTCTCTCTAGGTAACAGCTCTGCTGTTCTTTCACGAGTCATTTTATCACCCATACGCCAGCTGTCTCTTATTGCTAGTTGGAGAAATGGAGAAACAAATGACTTCTCTGCCTGTCCCATTTGCTCTCCCTCTCCTGTTTTTATTGTTAGCATGTGGAACCAGTCCCATCACCTTTCCTCTGCCTTAACTGAGGAGAGAGAAAACCTTTTCACAGAAGACCAGCAGGCTTCGTCCTCCAGGAGACATTTTGAGAATACTTGCTCTTTGATAAAAATGGTGGATCCCAAAGACAAAAAATAATCATTTCAGAAGTCTCTTTAAGAGAAGTTCAAGGCATGTTTAAGAGAAGCAACAAGGCATGTTGCATGTATTGCAGCATTCAAAGACTGAAGTAATGGAAGTGAAGCCAACCTGTCTTTATATTTTTTTCTCTCACTTTTCTGTGGTAGAAGGGTTAAGAGTTCACTGATTTGAGTCCTTTATATGGTGGACTGATTTCAGTGGTTCACTTCATACTTACAGAAGACTCATAAATGTGACTTCTGTAACATTGCTCCTTTGCTGTGCACCGAAAATGGTAGCTCTCCCTAGGAAATGCTCAAGGTCTCATTCTTTCTGCTGAAGTTACACACTAATCATACGTGAAATTGCTAAGCAGGGAAGCAGCAAGCAAGTAAATGCTTCAGACCAGGGGCAATATTAAGTAGCTGTTCAGAGAAAATGTGTTTGTTTGTTATAGCAGCACTGAGAGAAAATAGAGCTAATGTCAGAAAATAATTTCAGTTTTAGAAGACATCCCACCATAAGACCATCTGTTCAGGATCTAAATCAATTTTCTTATATATTACAGCACTTTTTTCTTCTTTGTCTTCCTGGATTTTCATGAGCTCACTGAAAACCGTATAGCAAAACTGGCTCCCATTATTACAACTGTACTTAGACTATCTTCATAACTCCTAATTTGTTCCTTTGCATTTAGTCCCATATTGGAGCTCTTTGTCTCATCTTGAAAGCACTGCACAATTTACTTCTTGTTCTGCCATCTGCTCACACCCTTCACTGCAATCAGACAGTTATCTAACTGTTCCCATTTATTACATTTATTGCTGTTGCTGCTTGCATTCTTATATTTATTGATAAAAAGCCAAGCACATGTTTGTGATATACAAGTAATTGTTTTTATTTCATTTCTATGCAAACCAATAGCGCTTGTAAAACTGTTAATGAGCGACAATATGGATGGAGTTGTGGAGGCTGTCAGAGTCTTTGGCAATCTTTCCCAGTATCATGAGATCCGTGACTTCATCGTACAGAAAAAGAGTGAGTTACTTTTGTATTTGTAGGAGTCCTGTTTTTAAATGTCCATAGTTCTAAAAAGGAAAGATGGTTAATAAGCTATCTTAGTTGAAGTGTAGAAGCAATCTTCTCTGATGTTTTCCAAATTAGGCAAATGTTAGAATCCAACAGTAGTCATTAGAAACACCATTTTATTTCAGTTTCATTAAAACTGAAATATTGGAGTAGGAAAAATATGCCATGGTGTGCCTTCACAAAGGTAAATACTACAAAAACTCTGTATTTCCTAAAGATTATAATTTTGAAATTTCCCTTCACTCCTTCAGTTTTTCAGATCCTACAGGTTAGTGGTGATATGATATAAAATGAAAATCCAACTAAATTCTGATTTAGGTTCATAATCACAGGTTTCTGATTCCCATGTTTGACAGCTTGTTAGCACTTCGTAATATGCGTTTAAGATATTTGACTGCCTCAGCAAAGAGACCTCCTGTTTGCCTCTGGATGAAGTAGGATACAAGTCTTCTCAAGTCCCTTTGCTTTGGGTGTCTAAAGAGCTTTGGGAGAAACTGCAACTCCTTGCTGTCCACAGGAGGTGTGTCATAAGTTTAATTAAACACCAGTTCACTGTAAATTTTTCTGTATCTACCTGTCAGTGCTGAAGGTGAGGTGCCACAATGTGCAACCCCTTCTTTCAAGGGTGCACGTACCACTGCTTTTTGAGGAAAAAGTATCTGCAAAGGGAGAACTGACACTTAGTAGCTGGTTGCTGTTGAGCTGTCTCAGGACAAAATGATGAGCTGTCTCAGATGTCAAAGGACTGAATTTGCCACCTGGGAGATACTGGTGTTGATGTGCCAAGCTCAGGAGGAGCTGAGAGGCTGCGTCTCCATGAGGCAAGACTGACTCCTTTGCTGGGGTTGCCTTCCACTGCCTACTGAGTTCTGTGTTGGCAAGTGCCACGAGATTCTGCGTGTCCAGCGTCTGCTCCTTGCCCATCTCCCACAGGAGCCCCAGGCTGCAGCAGTCCCAGCTGGACTTGGTGCAGTCTAGGGCAACCTGGCCTCTCACGGAGGTCAGAACTTCCCTCTCTGAGTGCCAGATGCCAAATCCTAGCAGGTTCTGCTGACTGTGCGATTGAAAGGAGGGCAATAGTTTTAAGAAATAAGCTGTAATTCAGTTCAGTGAACTTAACCTCTTCTGATTGGATTTTTACATTATTTTTTTTTAGAACTGGAATTTTGTGTGTTGCTTTGCAGAAAGCTGGTGTTCAGCATAATGTAATAATGGCTGTTACTCTGGCTGATACACCTGTTCTACAAATGTCATGGTCATATGCTACAAGGTTAAATTTTTATGTAGGGTATCCTGCATTTGACTGCTTTCTAAGTATTAAGTGTTTAAAAAGTAGGTTGTAATGCCACTTGTATGGTAGGTCCATCTTCCCAGTAACTTTGTTTCCTTTCCAATCCAGTATACAAGTTCATGACTGCTTTACTTGATGCCAAGAACCAAGATGTCTGTGTTTCTGCCTGTGGAGTTCTGCTCAATCTCACAGTAGATAAGAACAAACGAGCTCTTCTGATGGAAGAAGGAGGAATTGGAAAGTAAGTTCCTGATTATTCTTACGAAAAAGGCAAGTTCCAGTAGTTTGGCCAAAGAGTTTCAATCAGACTTTTTTACTGGAGCCAATAACTTGTAATAGGGATGCACACTTAATAGATATTCAGCATCTAATGTTCTTCAAGGAAAAGCCTTTCATATTCTTTCAGATGTTTTTTTGCAAAAGCATTACAGTGGTTTAGCCTACTGCAGAGCCGAGAACCATAGAATAATTTCCCAGAAATCCTCCGGATACGGCAGAGGAGAGCAGCATGCAGCAAAGCTGCTAAAGCATGGCTGCAATAGCTGCCTATGCGTGACTTAACTGGATCCTACGTAGGCAACAGTTAATAGGCACCATTAGTATGTGTCTGTTGTAACTGTGAAGATTACTGGAAAAACTATGATACCCCACATGGTCTCTTGCCATTGTTGTAACTACTTAGTACTGCAGGGAGAACTATCTGATGTAGCTGTGCTCAGCAGAGAATGAATAGCACCTGAGACTCCTCCCTCCGAGAGTTCAAGTTTGAGGCACTTACACTGTAAGTGGTTTAAATCTTGAAAAACCGCTGTGGATGCAACACTTGCGGCTTTGATGTTCAGATAATAGTGGATCCAGCTTAACTGGAGCAACATGAAAGATCATGTTCCTACGCTTGTAAAGCAGTTGATACAACCCACATTTATGAAACAACATGCCTAACTTTGAAATGCTTTCCTGTTCGTACATCATATAAATACCTTTTTACACAGTGTAAACAATGCATAGTCTGCTCATCCTTCCTTCCTGTGTTCTAGTTAACTTACAAAATATGAAGCTGAAAAAAAACCAGAAATAAGTTACAGGCAAATTGAATAATAACTGTGAGAATTTTTTATTATATAGAATTACTATTATATAAAATATAGAATGTTCTGTAGAATATAGAATCATATAGAATATATGATTTTCTATACTCTCTTTGAAAATTTGTGAAGATGAAAGGGAAAACAGTAACAGTATGGAACAAATATAGAGAATTTGGAAGTGATTGTTAAGGAGGTCATCCTGACTGTGCCAAGACAGCTCTGTGGATTTTTGGAAATGAGGTTATTGTACCAATATATAGTGGCCCTAATAAAACATGAAATTAGTCTCATTAGAGAGTTAAACTTCAAAAAATTAGGGCAAGTTTTTTGGCTTTTCATTAGATACCTCCCGGTCTTCCACAATGACTGCCTTCAGAGAGGAGAGAAAAAGCAAACCTCTTTTTGGTTGCTTTTCTATTACTGCTATTTTCAGCCATACCTGAATGTAACAGTTATCTCATGTTCCCTTTACTAATCACCAGATTATAAATTTCACAGTGAAGTAGAGAAGTGAGAGAAAGAGAAGGTCATAGGGTTGGGGAAGACAACAGAAGGGAAGGATTACTATTAGAGAGGTCACTAGGGACAGCAGGTGAAAAAAGTTTACTTCTGCTGCCCCAGGACTTGTGAACACTGCTCTGTGGAACTCTGGATAGCTACTGTACATAAGCTGGTGCAGGCAGAAAAGTTATAGCTTAATTTCACAGTCCTGCTTATGATCTAGCTGCATTTCGTAGCTGCAAGGAAGTGAGATTGTGAGAAGGGTCAAGAACCTAATGGTCCTTAATAAAACTGGCATTTCTGAGAGGAGTCCATTGGGAGTGCAAGCTGAGGAAATACAAGAAGGGGAGAGATCTGCAAAATAGTCTGACTTCACTGAACAGAAGAGGTAATTCTGTGAGTTGTGGAAATAGCTAATTCCTTTGAACTTGTCTTCTGGTCAGATCCTCTAATGTCTAATAAGCTGGACATTCTGACTGAAGCTTTTTCTGCTTTCATACCATCTTTTCCAGATGAATTCTTGATATCTGGTAAGGTTTGGCTCGCATTGCAATCTCTGCTCTAGTAGTAGACACAGATTTGGGACAGTCACAGATTGTCATGAAATTTGTTGGAATTTAGTGTCTTTGAGATAGTTACATTTGTGATGTACGTGATTCAAACTGGTTAGTTGGGTTAAAAAGTTAAAGGGGATGGACAGATGCAGGCAGGCATACCCAGGTGTGTAGAGACAAAAGGCATGTTCACATCCGTAGGGAACTGGACTGAATGAAAAGGGGGAAGTTACTGAAGAAGAAAGTAGCGTCTTCATTTTATTAATGTCAAATTTTCCTGCAACCTTTCATGGTGTCTGCGTACATTTCTAGTAGATTTTGAAGGGCTCAGGAGAAAACTACATGGAGAAAACGCTGTTTTTGTTTGATACTGACAGGCTAGTTGACTGTTTACAAGACTTTGGGCCCACTGACTGGCAGCTGGCATGTCTGATATGCAAAACCCTGTGGAACTACAGTGAAAACATCACAAGTGCGTCCTCATGCTTTGGAGAAGATACCGACACGTTGCTGGTGCTGCTCACATCACTCTTAGGTGAGATTCATAATCTTGGTCTTTTTTCCTTAAAAAGAGAAATAGAAGGAGCAAAATCAAAGCAGTATTTGTTTGGGTGGGGAGTCTGTCACACAGCTTTAAGTGGTTGGTTTGTATAGACTGTCCAGCAGCGCTGCGATCTATTGCCGTTCAGCACATTCCCTCAGATCTTACAGATTGCCAAAGTGGAACTGGCCGCTGTCACTCCCCACCCTAGCTTGTCTCATTAGCATGCCACTAATGCTTTTCACCAGCTGCCTTTTTGCCTGCTTGAGACAACTGTCCCAATAGACCTCCAGTGCAAAACATACTTGTCACTGGGTGTGGGTCCTTCTGGCCTCAAAGGTCATTGCAGGTGTTGACAAAAGCAGGGGTTCAGCTCTGATGCACCTGGTTACTGCACAGCACACACTGGGCAGTCTGGGGAATATTGCTTTTCCCCTCAGTTGGAGGGCTGTGTGGTGCAACAGGCTGAGCTTGCTGCATGTGACAAGGGGCCCCCGGCTGCCCTTCTTTTCTCATCCTGTGGGCGAGGACAACATCCTGACAATTTCTCCTTTGCTCCCTAAAGCTAGGGAGGGTGTGCTTCTCCACAAATATAGGCTGGAAGGTGCCTACAAGTGAATGTTAAGACCCTGATTCACTTACCCAGTTAGATTTTTTTTTTTCATCTGCATGTTTATGTTTGCTTCAAATTTTACAGAGATTAATTGCTAGGTAATAGTCCTACAGTCACTATGTAATTTTCCTCTATGAGCACTACTTTGGTAGTGATTTTATTTTGGATAGGTCATTTGCAGTTACCTTTAAAAAAAATCTTTAAAATGTAAATGAAATTGAAGCAAACCTGAACTAATTTTAATTTGGTTTTAATTGGAAATTTACTAAAGATGTGGAGAAGGCTGCATGTTAGTCAGACCCAGATAGAAGGTGAGATCCCCATTGTCTCTTTTGTTTTTAGGCAATCAGAAAAGTGGGTGGATTGTGAAGACTTTTTTCCAGTTACAGCAGAATTACTGTTATTCATTGTTGTAATCATTCCTTGCATTACATTCCTTGCTATGATACAGCATATCTTAATGTGGGCAGTAATTCCATCTATTTATCTGAAAATACTCAGATAATCAGTGCACTTTTTAACATTCTGCAACAGAACTGTGAACGTTACAGCCACAATCCTGCTTGAATTTTTTGGGATAAAGCAAGGAATGTATATCTTTGTTTTGGAAAATTCTTATTTTTTCCTCTGCATTTAACACTGCTTGTTCCAGCAATTAATTTGTCTGCAGAGTCCAGGCTGGGCAGTAATTGTAACTCTCATTAACTAGTACAGCTTTCATGAATTGGAAGTTCATGTGCAATTGCAGTTACAATTGCAATTGTAATGCAACTGTGACGACAATTAATTAAAAATAGGTCAGAATTAAATCAGAAGGCTAGTCTTTCTTCACACTGTAGTTAGAAGAGTAGCTGTAGAAAACATGTATCTTATTCATTGGATCTGGTTCCTCTGCGTGTAAGAGCCAACAGATTTTAGTAATAGCAGCTGGTTAATATTGTCCTACATCTTCCTCCTCCCATTGTATCCAGTAACAGCCTTGAACTGTCATTGCTCTGATTCTATCACTCAGGAAGCAGGAGGCAACTGCTGACAGTCAGCAGACTGTACTTAAGCATCAGCACACCCTCAGGAAGAGGAAAAAATGGAGCATGGCACAGCAGACACCTCACTTTACCTGCTGTGCTTGGCCTCCTCCCCTTTATTTTTCTTTCCCCTACCTGGCACAAGATGACAGAGGATATGAGGGAGCCAAAAGGGAGTGGAAATAGCCTGAAAAGATGTTGGGCCCAAGAACAGATGGACAAAAGGCACCATTTGTTTTTCTTTTTCCCTGTCTGATCCCAGCAGCGTGAGACACAGTGGCACTGCTTTCCAATGGCACTGTCATTTGCCTTCTTTCAGCTGCTCAAGCCTCATGTCATGTTATAGGCTCCAGGCTCCCAGAGGCTGGTGTTTCCAGGCTCCTGGCAGCACCTTTGCCTTGCCCTGGTCCCTCAAGAGCAGCAGTGGAGATGAGCCTCTGTCTTGAGAACATTCTTCTGTTTGGTCATTCAGTGATATCTCCTTTCTCCCATTCTTTTTCCATATTTTTCTTCTGCTCACCTTTACCTCCACTATCAATTTGAGGAGGTTATTTTGGAATCTCAGTACCTGTGAACTCTTACATGGCATAATAACTAGCTTCCAGGACTCCTGGCTCCTGTCCTGCTAGAGTTACAGGGGTGGGTAGCCCTTGCAGACTGGAGTCTGTACTGCAGTTTTCATCTTCCCCCAGAGCATGCAGAGCCAGTGTGCTTGTCTTGTTCCTGGGCTTGGAGCCAGTTCATAGGCTGTTTGGCCAGTACCCAGATTTGCTAGTTTTGAGGAGGGTCATGGGAAAATTAAATTATCTGAGGATGCACAGCTTGCATGTGGGACACTGATCCTCGCTGATCCCAGTGTTACTCACATTCTGCTTTGGGAAATTTACTGTTTTGGTTCAACACTTCAGCTTTTGAACTGGTTCTGACCCTTGTTCTTGTAGGCTAGAATTCCTGACCTCAGTGATTCCATAAACATTCAATCAACTTCTGGGGGGAACAGCTGTCTAATAAAAGGGAGAAATGTCTCTTGCTTTGTGTTAAAAGATAACTAATTTGGATAGGAAAATAATTTCAGGAGTGGGCAAAGAAATTCTGCCTGAAAACAAAAGCCATAATCCTTTATCTTCTTCTTTAGGATCTCTCACTTCTCTGCTGCTGAGATTCATTTTACACATGTTGGGCTACTATGCCATTGATAGGATAAGAGCTAATGGGCACAAGTTGCAATAAGAAAAATTCCAATTAAATATTAGGAAAAGAAGTTTCCACCATGGCAGGGGTCAGGCACTGGAGATGGGTCCTCGAAGATGCTCAACAGTACATGGACCAGAGCAACCTGATCTACTGTGGCTCTGCTCCAGAGGTCCCGCCCAACCTAAATTATCCTATGATTCCATCGAATATAGATCTGATGTCTGAGGTGGATTTTATCTCTGATTACAGGGTTTCTTCCTGTAGAGATATGACATCTTCCTTCTTGAAATAATGGGGTTTTTCCCTCTTTATTACAGAAAGTCTCTAAATGGCATGTTCTCTTTATGCAGAGCCCCATTTTAAACTAATATTGTGGTTTTGGAGTCTACCTCACAACCAGCATCTCTTTAATTTTGGTAATTTAGAAACACTGTAGTGCCACAGAATTCAAGTATTGTTTGCAGTTACCAGTAACTTTCCATGCAACGGAGCCCATCTCCATGCAAGAGTAATGTTGTCTCTTCCTTTACTGCTGTTGCAGCTCAGGCCATGTGTAGGCACCTTAGCATTCTTTTAAATGGTAATAGTTGCTGCTTGAGTATCTGTCTTTGACACAAAGTTTGACTCAAAACGTGGGTAACTGGAGTTTTTCTTCAGCTCATGTTGTCCTCTACCTTCTGTGAATGTGCAGTAAGCTCCCTTACAGAGTTATTTATTTAACAGATTGTGGATCTGGTGCTCTTTCATAGTCTAGGACAAAGACAAGTCACACTGCCCACTGGGTGGGGGATTGTATCTTCATTTTATGTCCTAAAGGCTGTCAAATATCCTTCTGTTAAACTGTATGAAAACATTTGTTCAGCATGAGCAGTTGTGTTTGTAGATTCCCAGTTCAGGAGCATGCTTCTTGTTGCAGACTGATTTGTTTTTTCTGTAAGGGTTTGTTTCTTTACCACATCTGATGCCAGGCAAAATGGAGGGGGAAGAACGAGCAAGGACCTCCTTTCATTCTTAACATTGCGTGAATCTACTAAGAGTGTGCTATTATTTTATTTAATAAGTTTGTGAGGAAGAGAGGGCATCAGTAATATAGTAATTAGTGTGGTTCCTGTTCTTTAAGTATGTCAGTAGTTATAGTTTGAAAGAGTCTTCATGAGCCAGATTAGGAAAGCAATTTGTGACCAGAAAAACATAGCTGTAGTTAGATTAATATGATAACTTAGATTAGCAAAACTGCTCTGGGTATTGTTAAAACCTGAGTAGTTTCCAGGTGGACAGTCACAATAAATGCTTGATCTCAGAGACACAGTTTAGCTACACCTGTGAGGTGTGAGAATAATAGAGCCTGCAATACCCTTATTACTGTTTTACTCACCTTAACATCCTTCATTTTCAATAAGCTAAGTCCCTCAGAGAGTGATGCTGACTTAGTCTTAAACATGGAGTTGTCTAAGCCTTCAACATACACAACTGACGAGTTCCATGCGCTGTGATATATTTTGATTCAGAACTGATGATGTTTTTTTCCTTGATTACAGATGAAGAATTAGCATTGGATTACAGCCTCGACAGAGATTTAAGGGACCACCACAAACAATATTGGGAAAGAGAGTTCAAACCTGTGGCAGAAAAACTTCTTGATAGAATTCAAAGCCATCACTCCTTTCTTCCAGCTGTGACTATTACTCCATTTTAATGTCTTTTTTTTTTTGTGGTGTAGATTGTACAGCTTTATATTTCTAATATACCTGTACATTGCCATTGGTAAGCATGTTGGAGAGCATGACTAATTGAATTTTAAAATTCAATTTTTAAAAAGTTAGTAAAGCCTGGTATTTATATACTAGATAATATCTTTTGAGAAGCTTGTATGAAATTTTTGCATTTGTTATTACTTTTTACAATATATTTAAGCTGATCAAGCAGCTGTGATTTGTCTATTAATTGCATAGTTGCTTAGCTGCGAAAATGAAATAAAACTATTTGCTGAACTTCTAATTTTTAAAAGTTACATTACCACTGAGTACCTGGACCTCTTCAGAGGAATGCTGTCAATGGTCAGGGGAAAACTGCTCCCCTTTCCTTTAGAGATCCCCTTTTCCTTACCTGATGCTGTGGGGCCAGGGTATCCCCACTCCTGCCTTGGTGCTTGCGGGATACAGGTCCAGCTGTGCTGGAAAGAGACTTTTCTGAATTTGGACTTCACATCTTAAGGCAAAACAAACACCCATATATCCCTGATGTAAGAGAATATTTTAGCTAGTCTGATGTGTTCTTCTTTCAGTTGTTCTCACAATCCCAGGAGGTGCCTTTGTGCCTGTACTTTTCAGGCCATCTTGGCCAGCTGTCTTTCCCTGGGCTCATGTCTCTATCCATGAGGCAAGAATATGCTCTGCATCCTTCACATTCCTTCTGACTGCTCCTGGCTTGTTCCTTGCTTAGTTTTAATCTTCCCAGTGTGCCGAAGACCCTTCTTGTAGCCCATGTTTTTTTTCATCACTGGCCTCAATGTTTGATGCACATGCACAAAGTTTGCACTGAACCTACAAAGATGGAAAGGCAAGGGCTGCTGGGGAGTGCTGTTCATTGTGGCTCATGGGGCAGATAGCTCTGCCACACTCCTCTAAGCAGAGACTCAAAAGAAAATCCTGTGTGGTTGTTTGGGTTTTTTTTGTTTTTGTTGGGTTTTTTTTTTTTCTTAGTGTCCCACCTGGGCCCATGGAGCAGCCAGCCATTTCGTTCCCTTCACTCGTGCTGGCACACACCATCGCCTTCCATGCATTGCCTGGCCTTTTGCACAGGATCCAACAACCCCCCACACGTTCTTTTGGGGTGTGGTGCCAGCACAGCTGAGGTACATGAGGCAGTGCTGCTGCGCACGCATGCCCTGGTGTGCTCTGCAGCCACAGGCTCAGGAGCCGTCAGGGCTCAGCCTGCAGCAGAGGAGGGCAGCCGGCCCCTGCCCCTGACAGAGGCTTGTTCCTTGTGCCCTGGCGTCATACACAGCTGCTGCTCTGTGCAGCCATTGCCACTTTCCACTTTCATGGAGCATCTGACGACTTCACCATTTTCTTGTTTTTAAAGACTAACCCCACCAACGTCTTTGGTTGCCACTGCACTTAACAGCCTTGCTTGTTCTCTTCTACTGAGGACCACACCTGCCTTGGCATTTTTAATGGAAAACTCCCAAACATTTTCAGGCCCTTTCTCCCAGGTAAGCAGCTTTGTGTGTTGTTGGGAGTGTCTGCACGTTAGTAGGAAGCCACTTGGACATACATACGCTGCGGTATTTACTGCTTGAAAAGGAAGAAGGTACCTGCAGGCCCAGGATGGAAACAGACAGTTGAGGTTTCTTGGGAAAATTTCATGTCTTTGACCCCCTTTGACCCCCCAGAAAGCAGCAGCAGGAGAATCAGGTGCTGCAAAACCTCCACTTACAGACAGGGAAGACACTTTTTCAGTGTCCTTAGCTTTAGTTTAGCTTTATGATATGCCCTTAGACAGGAAAGTTTTTTGCTTTGTTTTTGGAACATTAAAAATCCTGTATTTTTAGTGAAGAGGAAATAACAGATGCTTCCTGTTAGTCACATTTTTTGACAGTTTATTAATCTTTCTCCCCTAGCTCTTTTTAGATATTTCAGCTTCTTCGACTGTAAGGTTAAAACAGCTCAGACTGGTTTCTCTTATTACAGAACATTCTGAGAACCAGGCCAGGGTACAGAAATCTTAATTTAATTCTACCTGTGGGCTTGGGAAAATCAATTTCTTTCTTGCCTTGCAACTAAGTCTTCTTCCTTCCCGTGAGCAGGTGAGAGTTTCTGCACCTGAGTGCACTATAACCCCCATTACAGCCAGCTGTAGGAGTGTGTCCAATAGACTTTGTCACTTGCTTGTAGCAAATCGCCCTCCCAACGCCTGTTGCCGTTCATTCCTCAGTCTGACGGCACAGACCTGACCATCCTTCTCATGCCAGATATCCTTTTGGCACTAGCCTATGAAAATGAGCAGCCTAATCTGGAACTAAATTCACTACTGAAGGATTTTAAAATCAGTTTAACTCTCAAAATAACATTTAGATCTAGTTATTGAAAATAAGTCGTTATATGTTGGAATCTCCACTCATATCACACCCACTACCTGTGAGGAAAGAGAAAACCCTACACCACAGAGTATACCTAAAGAGAGGATGGAGGACTATGGGACAGATTAAAACATCAAGAGTATATGAGATGTTCCTACTATTGTTTTAGTGAAGATCTAAATCTATTTTTTAAACTTCATTTTCTCTCATCATTTTAGACTCAGTTGGAAAAGTCGTAGTTTATAATTTCAAGTACATTTGCTCAGTTAACATTTCAAACATTTAAAAATGGTCTTTAACCAGTAAGTAAACCAGTAAGAACAGAAGCATAAAGTTAAACCACACAAAAAAGCCAAGAGAAAAAGTTGTTACCTTTATTTAAAAAATACCAATAATACTGACAAATTTAAAAAGCGATTCACACTCATACAAAAGTATTCATGTGTTCTCCAAAACCACTGTATATTAAATGTCAGCATTTTAATCATGTTTTGATTTACTAAAAATAGATGGTTTTTTGCCTAGTTATTTAAGCAACTGCAAAAATCAGTAAGACCAGCATTGGGCATGTAATACAGTAGAACTGTTTGGCAGTCTGGAACAACATTCCCACACCTTGTCCTCGCTCCTGAACAGGTATCGGTTCATCCTTGAAAAACAGGACAAGAAGCTACTCGACACTTCACGTAGTTAGATCTCTAAAAAGCCCTGAGGACTCAAGTCCTCTTCTTTCCATAGGAAGACCATTGCACTTTGGAGCTCACCAAATAATGCTGAACAAATGTCCTGTAGCATTTTAAGGCTAAACTATTTGAAAAGATTGACTGCTATCTTTCAAATTATTATCAGTGTGGACAGAAGAGGTTTAGGTCTGATTAGAAAAGAAATCTAAATAACAAGGCTTTTTTGAAACCACACACAATAAAGGCTCAGACAATAGCAGTGCTCACTTTCACTTTTAGCTTAACTGGAACAGCCTGGGTCTGTTCACTCCACCAGCACAAATAGCAGCATCAAGATTTTCTAAAATTATTCTCGTAGGGAAAGCAAATGTCATCAAGTCCCACTTCTTTTCACGCTCCAACTCCCATAGTATTTGCCTTAACACAAGATCTAGATATCTATCATTTGCTATATTGCCACAAGTTCATAGAGTGTCCCGTGCTGTCTAAAACCAAAATACCATGAGCAGGCAGCACTTCTGCACAACCCTGTCAACTGCCAAGCGTTCACTGCCAAGTGGCAGCAGTGATATTCCAAACACGGAAATAGCTGAAACTAAAGGAGTTATGGCACAATGGGCATCTTAACTTATAGCTACCGTTGGTCCTGAGGCTTCGTATCTTCCTCTGCCATACTGCAGCTGCAGAACATTCCAACGTCGACAGGCAGCTGGAGACATCAGGTCATATAGCGAGTAATAGCTCTCAGAGCATAAAGTAGTTCGGCTTGCATCCGAGCTTCTACCAGAAGCAAATTTACATGGACCTTCGGGAAAGACAAGAAGTTATGCTTTAACGGTGTGCTCACAGTAACGTACTCCAGTGAAAGGAAGTCTGTGGGGCTGCGGTTTTTGTCTTGGTGTTTGCAATAGTTGGGGGGAGCCCTTTGTGTTTCAGCTACCCAGATAACGAGTTCTACGTGTAACACTTGCTGAGGAAGGAAAGACTGAACAAGGGCTGGCTGGAGTACGGCAGCACGGGGCTGCAGCAGATCCCAGGTACACGTAAGCAGGGCCAGGTTCAGAGGCAGAGGTAGTCATCCTTTAGTAGACCAACTGGCTTAGCCAGAAAAAACAGACAAGCTTACAAGGACACAAGCCCTTCTTCAGGAGCAGACTATGAGCAGCTTGAAAATAGCTGCTCAAATTTAGCTTAAGTTAATAAATTAAAGGCAAAAGGGTGATTGGTACCTGTGGAGCAGAAGGGGTTGTTAGCAAAGGAAATGGAGATAAGGTTGTTTGCCCCTGTGAGACAGAAAGAGAAACACACAGGTAATTATCACCTGAACAAAATGGAGTGGTTAGCTGAGGTGAAGCACAAAAAAAATTGTAACATGCCATAAAATTATTATCTTTATTGAGACAGAGGTGTTCTATAGCTATTGGAGGTGAGAATTTTCATTCCCCAGCTCATCTCCTCAATGTCTTTACAGTATTTGTTTGAGGATGAGATCAGAAACCAGGTGAGGAAAGGGGTGAAAAGTATTCTCTCACAGAGAGCAGGCTGGCTGTGAGCATGTTCTGCCATATAACCGCTCTGTGTGGTTTCATTCACATGACTCGCCTGAGGGTGAGTTGTGATGGCATTCAGTGATACGTACATGTACAATCCTTGGATTTTGATGGCTATGGGGATGCAAAGGTTTGGGCTTTAAGAAAGGGTTTATGTGCTTGAAAAGCTTGTCTCTATGAGTTAGGCTAACCAAAACAAACATATGTAGTATTTTACTTGAACAACCTTAAATCCTTGTAGTTATAGAACCCCTATTCTAATGGGGTATCTCTAAACTATTTTCAAAGGAGTTTAGCAAGAAATAGAGCCTCTGACAATATGAATGCTGATTAAAGCACATTTATGTTTCGGCACTGCATCAGCATTCATTTTAAGTGGGGCCTAGAAATATTTTAAGAAAAATTGGATGATGTGAACTTGATGGGGCAGACATCTGAGAGTTAACAGTGAGAAGTATTACTGTGAGGTGCAATTCAGACTATAACCCAGCAGCAGGATCTTAGTCTTTAACACAAAGTAACAGCTTTGGGGCCGTTCGTGCTAAAAATGACTGTAGGACTGTAAAGACCGTGGGCCAGCAAGGAAGCTACTCTGGGTCTGAGGCCAAGGGATGGATCTCACATCGCTTCCCTGCCTTGCTGGGACACAGGCAGCACCAACCAACAGCAGAGGAGAAAGCTGCAGTCGAGGTGAGGCTGTACCACTGACATGTCTGACCTCCCCACACCCGTCAGAGCTTGCACAGTCCACGTCAGCTGTTAGCTAGCAAACATGCAGTAGGAAAAGAAAAATTATTTCATCCTGGGAAGTACTACACTTCCTAATGAATTTACTGAATGCAAGCAGAATCCTGGTAACATCAGCTAAAGCTTAAATGCTAGCTGGGTAGCTGTGGCTGTTAGCGTGGCAAACAGATCTACTGCCCATGTTCCCCAGGACATATGCAAACTGTACCTTCTCAGAGTGTTCAAACTGCCTCCAGAAGCTATCATACATTCTTTTTGTGGTCTTTTCAGGAGTGCAAACCACAGTCTTGATATAAACTTTAAAGCTGCGGTCCAACAACTGATTAATTTCACCATAGTCGTAATCATCATATCTGTTCAGAATTGAAAGAAAAACACTTTGATTTTCAAGAACCAGTTATTTCACTTGCATTGTTTGTAAGGTCCCAAGTCAAAATAAGTTATTGTATAATTTGCACCCCTACTGGCCCTTCCCCATAAACAAAAATATTTAAAAATACATGCATGTTTACTCAATAAATAGCTTTGCTTCAATTAAAAAAAAAAAAGGGGGGCCAATGCTAACAAGTCTGATGTATATAGAACAAAAGCAGTAAAACTGACCTTATTCCAAACATACAATGAATATAGTTCCAAATAGCTCGTCTTAGCATTGAGGTATCCACATCTTTGTGCATGGCCATTGTGTTGTAAGTCAGATTATAAGCAATATGAAACTTCTCATCAAGTAGTTGTCCCACATCAGGGTAAAGCCGATTAACCAAGGAATAGCCATGGTCTTCCCAGGAATAATCCTTAGAACAAGTAAAAATGCAGAACGGAGCATTTCAGAAATGAACTTGCAAAGACCTAGTGCTTTAACGTAATTTATCTCAGGGCAGATAATACGGGGGGAGGTGGGGGTAGCTCATTCGCTTGCTTTAAGCCTTCTCCTCCATGGGGCAGTAAGTTACAGCACAGCAATTTCCAGGTTTGGTATTTGGCCCAAGAAACAGATTGCACACTAAGCCTCCTGATACCAGCCCCTATCCTTCTTACCTGAACACGAAAGGTGGGCACATGCATTCCATGTCTGGAGAAGTCTTTGTAACCATAGCTGGTATCCTCAAAGTGACGAGACACATCTCTTGTTGGTGCTGATTCTTCATCTTCTGTTAATTTCAAACAGAATTTGACACAATTACAGTAAGAACAAACTAGAAGCGTGGCAGTGGAACTCTTACAGAGGAATGCGAGTCTCTGTGCTTTTAAAATAAAGACAGTTTCACTGGACTATCCGTATTAAAATTCTTTGGTACAGCTCAGTGTGACTGCAACTATGGTTTTTAGAGGCAATACCATAAAAAACACTCCGATTCTTTCTTATAGACAAAAATCTTTTTCTCTCTTCTTTCATGTACCAGTCTTCATTCTGTCTCCTAAGTCTAGGGGACACTTTGCTCCTAACTCAAGGGGTCTGTAAAGATATCAAGGGAAAATCTGCTTTTTTTTTTTTTAAAAAAAAAAAAAAAAGGCTTCTAAGACTTCTATGCCAAGTTTATTTTAGAGGAAACTCTGTTGAAGCACGCACAACAACCCTAAGCTTGTAACAGATTATCTCACAGTCACCTGAAAAGTAATGTTTCATGCACTTAAATAGCTAAGTGTGTTAAGGACTTTTTACAATGTCTTGTGACATGTTTAAATCTCTTGTGGAACTTTTAAATCTTCCAAGAGAGAAATTCCACTTCTGTTGGAAATTTCTATTAAACATAGTATTGTTCAGTGAATGTTACAGTGTGTTTGAGAGAAGCCACAAATCTTGGCACTACTTTGCTTTGAAGCGTTCCTGGAAGAAAACAAGGCACCCCTAATCTTGATCCCTTCAAAGAAATAGTAATGTTTTTGAGACATCTAATAACAACAGTTTTCCTTTTGCAGGAGTAAGTATTTCTTCAAGTGATTTGGAGAAGTCTAAATAAATATCTATCTATCTATCTATATACATACACACACTACATCTGTTCTACCTGAAGAACACACGAACATGCTTTCTCTCTTCTCTCTTTCAAAACGTGTAGCCATCTCTTCTTGGCTGGCTTCCTCTTCATCTCTGCACTCCTGTAGTTGCTTCATTTTCTCCATAAGAGCTTCAACTTCACAGACAGACTCTGTAGACTTGAAAAGGAGAGAAAAACGTTTCACTTCTGTGTAACAAGAACCGACAACGATGGCAGAAATCGTCAAGCCAGAAAATCTAAACGCAAGCTCTGTCCTTCATTTACATCTATAAATACTGATTTTTTGAGGAAGACAGTTCTTGAAAGAAATCTGTACTGACCCAACATTTCACATTTTGTCATCATCTTTTCTCAGTTAGATCCCTGGTATTAGCATATTTTAAGAATCAGAATTTTATGGAACAAGTGGTTCTCACGCTAAAATTAATTTCTCTTACTTAATCTAAATGTTTAACAACTGAAAAACAAGAGCTATAACAGAAATTCTGTTAGAGGAAGTAACCGCAATTTACTACCCAACTGTATTTTTGCACTTCTCTGCTCACAAAGAAATATATTGAAGGAAAAAGGAAGAGTGATTGTAAACGCAGATTTAATGAAGCCTCAAAGGAAAGCTAGTGCAAGATAATCTTATTTCACAAGAGCTGTTTTAACACCACAGCACACTATTAATTCAATATCTGGTCTTGTAAAAATCCATCAGCACAAAACAAAATAAAGTTATCTTCAAGTTACACAGTTCTGCCTTTTTCCTCTCTGCTTTTTTGCAGACAGTTTGCTACTTCAGAGAACCAGCAAGCTCCACCAAAGTTTAAATGCCACCCACACCGTTGCAGTAAAGTCTCACAGGCAAGAAACCTGCATTGAAAATAGCCTGTTATCACTGTTCTTAAACCAACACTTAGTTTGCATCATGCTTCTCACTAAGTGGAAGCAAGTACAGATCAGTGAGCCTAAGTGCTGCAGGCAGGAAATACTGTTTTAGAGACAAGAGTCAGAAAATTGTGAATGATCTATTGTGTGTTGTGTGATGTATCACAAACACCTGAAGGCAACAAAGTCAAAGACTGGAATCAAAGGAAGAGCCAACTTTCCACTGCACCCATGGAAAAAAAGCATTCCTGGCCCCTGATGCTCAGGACATGTATCATGAACTAGCTGAGGCCAGGAGTCATTGAGACCAAAAAAAAAGACAACTGAGAGACTGTATCTTTGTCTCTCCCTTCAGTAACCTCCCCCAGTTTACCAGTGTCATTTCAGCTTCTCCTAAACATATCTTTTCAACTGGTTAGCCCTCATCTGGATTAGTGTAATCAATCCCACTCTCACTGAACAAAAAGAGACAGACACCCTCTGTGTATTAAGTTTACAAAGAAATCTGCTACTATTGAAAGACACTGTTTGTTCAGACAGATACTTACTGGAATACTTCCAGTTGGGCTGGCATGAATTTCATCCACCCCATGGTAGCCATTTGTAATATCACATATGCAATAGTTACTGACGGAAGGGGGCCTGAAGGTGTGACCCCCTTCACAGTCAATCTCCGGGCTGATCCCACAACCAAAGGTGAAGGAAGCAAGGGAGTGGTAGTGTGTAAGGAGAACGACTGCGTGGATCAGCTCTGCCAGGGACCAGCTGTTCTCTTCAGTCTTCAAAAGTTGCTTTGAAAATAATGCAAGACAAAAGTATTAATTTTAAAAAGTCATTCAAATGATCCCACCTTAATGCAGTTTATCAATGCATTTCTTCACCTGATAAAATTATGTTGCTGATGTCTGCAACTGCTTCCTAACTCTCTGCTGCCATTAGTGTGCTCAGTGTCCTGTTAGCAGGTGACCTGCCACCCGCAGACTCATGTGGTTAAGCCACACAGGAGACGACTTCTCTCCCCTCTCTGGCGCTCAGCTATTGAATCAGCCAGGGTTTCTATTTTGCACCATATGGTTTGTATTGAGGCCACTGAAATTTCACACCTCTGATGAAGATGCAACCACAACAGTTGCATGTTTCTTCAACTGGTCTTTACAGTCTCAGAAAACCCTGGCAACAGCTTGCAATTGGCTGTGTGAAAATCTGGCATCGGGGCCGGGCTCCCTCCATCTCGTCCCCGTGGGTGGAATGCTCTACATTTGACAAGAAACTTCAAACCCCAACTTCCCCTTCAGGAAGGAAAGTGTGGGAGGATCGGGGCCTTCAGGCAGAGCACGCGCCCTCCCCTGCAGCCCAGCCTCCGGCCTCCCAGCAAGACCTGGTGCCAACTCTCCACCTGGCAGACAGCACAGAGAGAGTCCCAGCACCCACTTCCTCCTTGCTAAGGGTAAAGAGAAGAGCAGAGGAGGAGGAGTTGCTCCAGTCACCACGGCCAGGCCCGGGGCAGGCATGCCCCCGCCGTGAGAGCTGCCGTTGGGGCTGCACACATGCTGCACGCACCCTGGGAGCTGGCTTATCCAGGCAGCCCTCGGAGGAGGGGGCAGCAGAAGCAGCCGCTTGGTGGCTTGTTGGTGCTGCAGTCCTGGCTGGCTTGTGCCACCACCGCTCCCCTGGGCTGTTCTGAAAACTAAGCATCTGAATCAGCAGCTATTGAAACAAAAATGTGGTGACTGGTGTTCTGCCTAACCTCTGGCAGCATCTCAGAAATGCTCAGGGGGTTCTGGCTACTGAAAGCACGCAACTTAGGGAGATGCACATCTGAGCACATCCTCATCGCAACAACAGAATTCTGATATGACAACTCTGAAATGTCAGTGTGTTGTAAATTCAATTTGTTAGTCACTTGAGACCAGTTATGCTCATGTTAGTTTTATAAAGGCACAAGTGATTTTCTATCATGCAGTATCACAGTGATATAACAGTGAAATGCAAGTCAGTGACACAGAACATCTCTTGTCCTGTCCTGCTCTTAACCCTAAGGATCTGTGATTGCATTTACTGAAAAATAAGGGTACAGTCACATTACTCCATGGAAGATTTACCTCAATATGTTCCTTGGTGATAAGCCATGGTCGGTGAGCCAACATTTTGTTCAGTTCCCCCAAATTTTGCAGTTTTTGAGGTGCATTTTCGAGACCATTCAACCACTTAGGATCTCCACCAACATGCAGGAAGTCATTCACATGGAGGTTAACAAGGTAAGAGCACTGGTGTCGTGCTGCAGCCTACAGAGGAAAACACAATTGTGATACAGAAAACAATTACAGTAAGTTAGTGCTTTATGACAAATACTGTAAGTCATCATTTCCTCTACATATTCAAGAATAAGCCTTGCAGTGATCAAAGGCTGCTAAAGTAAAAAAAAAAAATTGGGATTAACACATCAACCTGTTTTGATTATTGTTCTCACAACATAAATAATCCTTGTTTGTATATATTATAACTATGCTGGCTACAGGTGCAACATGCCTATATCCAGAAAAAAGTACAGGCATAGATTTATTATATGTCTGAAGCACATATGCCATACTCCACCGTACTCCCAGCAGGGAAGAGGCAAGGCTGCCTGTAGGTGAATCTTTATCAGCTAAAACAAAAGCAGGTTTTAGAATGCATACAGTGAGAGAGACTAAGGGCAACTTTTCAGCAACGAACAGACCCAGTATAATTTATTCAAACAGTAATACTTTCCCCATCAAATTAAGACACAGCCCAAAACTTTAATTCAACTTCAGCAGGGGAAGATCATTGTACTGGCAGATTGTAAATTATGAAATGACCCACTTCTGGCAGAAAACTTGCTTAGAATTTAGAGATTCAGAAATGGATGATGGTGTTGAGTTAGAGGGAGGTGTATTTGACAGGACTCATACACAAACAAGCTTTTCTGAAAAACAGTTTCTGAGATACTAAGGAAACCAAAAATAAACAATTGTCTTATTTTTATAACAAATTTTTTTCCCCCTCTTTCTGACAGCCCTACTGAAACTATGAACATAAAGTACTGGGCTTATGAAACAATTTGTAAACCAGACAAAAGCAAACCTGCTCTGCTTTTCCCCTTAGCTCCTGATAAAATGCCCTTCCAACTAGAAATTGCAAAACACAGTAATAACTGCTACGAAAGAAGGCCAGAGCTTGTTGCCAAAGTGGCTGTTTCTGCTTGCTGCTGTGTGTTCCAGCATACCATTATCCCGATGTAGTGTCGGTAATGAAGTGGGAGTGGACCATCCATTTGCAGTAGATAGTGCTGAGTTTTTAGAAAGCTTTCAAGGTACTGTGGGTGGAAAACCATCACCAAGGTAACATTGTCCAAACGGCCCAGCGTAGCAAAAGAATCTGCAAACAGCGTGTGCATCATGGCGTCTTCGTTTCCCACTTGAACTGTCTGATTGAACAGAAAGAGCAATTAGCAATATTGTCTAAGTAGTACCAATACAATAATAAATAAATATATTACCACAGCACCCGGAGGAATGGAATAATATTATAAATCTATTAATGGCATTACATCAGTGCACATAAGGCAAGGTACATAAAGTCCCTTTAATACCTCTCATTTAGGAGAGCACAAGTGGTTGTAACAGCAAGAGGAGATTTTTGCCTTTACACTTTCTGTTGTGCACCACTGACTTCTCGTTTTTAACTGTCTCACCTTCACTTTCTTTAATGCCCCCAACTGATCTAACTTAAAGTTTATTACAACAACGACAAGGTAATTGAATAATTATTTTAATTGAGGAGAAAAGAGGGAAAAAAAGCAAAAAGCTTGCAAAGATGACAAGAGGGAGAAATAAAAGGAAATTGAAGTTAAGGCTCTAAAATTCCTAGAAAACCACAGGCATATTACCAGCTTTTCCTCTGCTCCAAATTCTCTTACCAGATGATCAGGAGAGAAGCACCAGAAATGCTCAGCCACTGCACTTTGAAGCTTCTCAGATTATTCAGAATGGTTGTGGCAGCTCAAGAAAAAGCAACCCCAGACCAGGGGGCAGGTGCCTTCTGGACCAATGGGAAATTACATCTGGATGTTCAGAAGGAAACACTCTTACAGAAAACAGTATTGAGTTTCCCTTATGCTAGATAGCAGTGCAGGAGGGGTCACAACTATTCCAAAGCTCCCCAGGGCTCCCACTGCTTCTGTACACTAGAACTGTGGCCAAAGTGTCACCAGGACTGAATGTGATCACAACTGAAAACGTTTTGCAGCTCAGCAGCTGTCCTGAAACCAAATGTGGGTTACTGCTAAAAGGGTGTTCCTTAAAAGCATAAAGTTCACTGTGTACTTGAAAACACTACCACACCTCCTTCTCAGGGATGAATCTGCTTGGTCCGTGTCCCAGTGGTCTAGGAATCCTTATCCCAAGTTCCTAGAAAAGAAAATTACACCATCTCAGCATTTAGTTATAAACAGCTTTTTAGCTGCGGTTGCAAGAAAGAAAAGAATTCTCTATTCAGAGCTGGGCTTATTTGGGTACTTGTGGTACTCTTACACGGGTACTTTTACTAGTACCATTTGTACAAATGCAAATCATTTTTTATATAAGTGCTTTATAATTAGCCACACTTGTTTACAGCATACTGCCCCACTCCAGCAACAAAAAAAAATCAACAAAGGCCCTGACAACCAAAGAAAACACACACAAATTTATATGCACACATACACTACAACCTGGTTCACAGAAAATTCTGCATAAAGCATATTTTGGCAGGGTGTCCAGGACAAGGAGTTCAGTACATAGCCGGCTGCTGTGTGGTTATGCCACTGATACAAAACGAGGCTGATGTGTGTGTGTACATCCGCAGTACGCCAGCACATAACACTCTGTGCATCTGTCAGGAAATGAAACAGCTGTAACCCTAATCAGATTTCTTCTTCCCAACCTCAAAGAGCTCTTAAACTGCTGAAAGTACCTGATCTACATTTGCATCTGCTTTCTTTTCAAGACAGGATAAATTGCTATTCAGGTTGGGAGGGAGACAGGGGATTTTGCTCAGCCAGAAGAGCAGCAGCCATGTCCTTGCAGACACTTTTGAGGACATGCTGCCTTGCAGATAAGAGGGAAGCTGGATACCCCCCCAGCAGTTCCCTACCTGCCCTCTCCCTCGCTAGATGTACCTTCCTGACAGACCTACGGCACCGCAGGCCCCTCATGCAGCCAAGGAGAAAATTGTATAAAAGACTTGGGTGCATTTGCGTCCTGCGTATTAAACCGTTCCCTTGGGAAGGGTGGGAGGCATGGGTTCAAGGGCAGCTCCTGCGTTTGGCACGGAGCAGCCCTCAGAGAAAGCACAGCAGGGTCCACGGGGCATGTACCAAAGCAGGACACGGCCCCACCTCGCACTCTCCTGTGTGCCCACCTCCCCGTCGCTACAGAGGCTCACTCCTCCTTCCCGCACACGGCTGCAAACCAGCTCTCCAACAGGATCACGCCCCAGCCAGCGGCACAGCTTCCCCAGGAAAGATGGGAGCCCCGCCACCTGAAGCAGCTCCCAAAGGGGCAGCTGATGGCACAGTGCTCTTACCGATGGAGGGAGACCTGGGATTAAAGCTGAGGACGGAGCCAAGTGCTAAACCCTAGGATATATATAAACTAACAGTTTGGACTCTTACTTGTTCCCTCTCCTCTGGTTATCTTTCAAAACACATCCATCGCCTCTGTTCCATAGCCCAAACCATTCAATTTTCTGCTGATACCAACCCGATCCAGGGTTCTCAACTGGGTTTAGGTGAATCAATACCATGTATTGAACCAGTCCAGGCTACACAGAGCAGATGGGCACCTTCAGCTGTTTTCGGCCTCAAGAGCAAATGCAGCCCCTAAAAGCTGCCTGCCAAACGCTGTTTTAAAGGTTGCTACATTTTCCCCACATAGATAAAGGCTGTTATAAACAAGCAAAACTGGTCCCACTCAGTATTGCACTTTTTCTGCCTTTAGCTGAGGTTTCTATTTGCACGAGAAGCAATTTTATTAATCAGTTACTGTTCCCTGAACTTTCCCCTAAGATTAAAAACCAGCTTCAGAGAGCCGGAAACAATCAGCGCAGGTCCAAGTTGGAACTACCAAAGCCCATCAGACTCTGACAGTCTCCTTAAATCCTAAGTCAGATGCCTTCATTTCTCAAGTCTCATTTGGATAAAGTGAGATCAAAGGGCAGCTCTTACTACTAGTCTTTTCAAATTTTCCTTGGGACAGTAAAGTTTGCCATGTAGTTTGTTCCTGATGAAGGTCTCAACATTCACAAATAAATTCTGCCTGTCAGACAAGTCTCTAGGAATGCCACTTGAAGGATGGAATTTATATCTTTAAAACACTCTCTCTCCTCAAAGCTCCAGCACAGCTTCTTATCTCGGCTACAGCTACACTAGCAAATTAGAGAAACATCTTACATCCAAATGCCAGCAAGGAAAAAAGTTCCGTACACATCACTTAACTTAGCAGATGTCCACAGTTGTCTGCCAACTCAAGCACTCCAAGAGAAATACCTTGAAGTTTAATTCCTGAACAACTATGTTTCAGTCTTCCTCTTTCCCACAACAGTTATGGGGAAAAAAAGCCAAGATTTAAGAACCTGAGATCAGCAGGCTGCTAACACTTATCTGACAATCTAAAATACATCACTATCAATACATTTCACATTTTTTTAAAACATGTAGAGGTCAAACTACTATGATTACACTGCATATAAGAGGTTACAGTAGTTAAGTAACCAAACCCCCTCTGCAAAGTAACTCAGGGTTTTTTGGAGGATTGAACAAGTTGCTTTGTTTTCGCTCAGGAGAGAAAGCATCCTCCTGAAATCATGGCACTAGCCTAGTACTTGAGAAGCCTGGGCTCAAGTCTCTGTTCTGACAGAGATGCTGCAAACGATTTGTGAACATGAGCCTCAGTTTCCCATCTGCAAAATGGGGTTAAATATGTATCTTCCAGAGGGTGCTGAGAACAGAAGTAAGCTTGTCATAAGCTGCATGGTTACCAGAGTCATGAGAGTTGTATAAATTCTGACCCACTAGAAATCTTCTGAAAATTGTTATTCTTCAGATACAAGCTATGGCAGACCTTTAAAAAAATGTTCCCCCCTCTTTTTTTCAAAAGCAGCATTTAATCAAGTTCTCCTAGTACTTGAGAAACAGCAGGCATCGCTGGGTGTTCCCACTATCCCAACATTTCATATATGATATAGACAACACAGTAACGATTCTCAAAACAGTCCTAGAGTATCTTCCCTTCGTTTTGAACATATTTACATGCTCCATGATGCCCTCCACTATACCTCCATCTTCCAAGTACACTCAGCTCATAGAGCACCACTCTCCAGCTTTCCCTCGCAAAGGCAAGACCTGCCTCCCGACCAGCCACCCCAGCACCACCTGCACCTTCCGCTGAAAGCAGCACCTCACCTGGAGCGCTGACAAGCACTCAACGAAGCATCCGGAGCAAGGACAAACAGCAGTTGCAAGCAAATGTTATTTAATTTGGTTATTACAAAAGTATAAGCAACTTTCATGCAATTCCAGATCACCAAAGTGACCTGCTTACTGACATGTTTTCTTCATCAAACTTCTCCTGGCTTCTTTCCTCCTGTGTGTTAACCTTGCCACACCACTTCCATTCAGTCTGGAAACTCTGCAGCTGAATGCAGCTCCCAGGTCAGCAGAAAGGCAACCACAACTGAGGCTTTAGGTGAAAATAATACATAATAATAATGCATCAGAGGCACTCAGTCTTCAAAGCCAGAACATAAAACTCAGATGGCTGCAAAGCTGAACATCAAGGGTGGAACAGATTTTGTCTTCAACACCCAGAAGCTCCCCGCTAATGGAGGGAGGTGGGCATGGCCAGGTGCAAATCCACTCCACTGCTCACCTTCCAGTGGTACCTTGACAGAAAAGCCAGACTTTAACCATGTGAATGCTGTGTCACTATGCTGGCAGAGATGACTTCAGAAGTCACAGAAAATCTGCTTCTTTCCCCTTATGTAATGTAATTTGTGTTTCTGCACAGCCACTATTATTATTTCCACAGGAACTATGCTCACCAGATACCTATCATTTCTGAATCTACATGTCCCTCATCACTGCCATATCTGAGCATCTCATCTACTGTATTTAATTCATCCAACATTCCTGTGAGGTACGGCAAGCGTATTATCTGCCATTTAGCAAAAACCTGAGAAACAGAAAAGCAACATGTCTAACAGAGGCTGCTACAGAAGAGTGGTGGCTTGAGCTGAGATCTCTCAAGCCATGGTCTAATGCCCTAACCATCAGACTGTGTGCCTTTTCAGAGACTTCTCAACCAGGAAATATGTTTTATGCAAATTTACACCAAGAAACAGCTCTTCAGAGCTGAGACAGAAGAGTTAATGAGACAAGTCTGCAAGCTTAATTATATACTTCCCAGCTCCCATTCTCTCTCAGCAGTCTGGCCCATTTAGTACGTCCAACTCCATAAAGCTAACCAGAAACCAAAAACCTATACTGCATGCACATCTGTGTGGAGAGAAGAAAACCCTAAAACCTCAAGCACATTTAAATTCACTCTATTTACGGCTTTTCTGTATCTTAAGACTCTGTCTATCGAGCTCACTTTGGGGTAATTTTTTTTTAAGCATCTCATCAAGAACAGCACTCCTATCAAATTTAAGTAAAAGCTTGAGATGAAAAATTGAATTGCAAATGCTTAAAGAGGTTTTTTAATAATTAAAGTACAAGGTGCATCACCTCTGTTGGTAACAGAGCATCATCTACTTTTGCTCTGAATCTCTAAAATATAAGTGAAGAAAAAAAGAAAGAGCAACTTCTAAACAGACACCTAATATCAGAAATTCCACCTAGAAACACTGAAGCAAAGTTATAAGCCAAGTCACAGAGCCTCTCTCTAAAACAGGAATCTAACCTTAGCTAAGGAACTTAACCTTAGCTACAGCTCCTCCTCCGTACTGCACCTAAAATAATGTTTTTTCAGGTCCCTGTTCTTCTCCTACTACTGGCTCCTGGCAGCTAGAGCTCAGCCTCTTACCACAAGACCTCTCCCAAAACTCAATCATAGTTTTGTCAGATGAGTATGGGGACTGTTACCAAACTCCGAATTTTCAGTCATTCAGGATTTATGAGCTGAGACCTAGCTATGAACCACAATCTTCAGTCTGCTCCCGTGGTGTTAGCACAGTGAGTCATTTTGCGCCCCTCAAGTACAGTCAGTACTAATATCAAAAGTTGTATCTCCCAGAGGGACTTATTTACATACTTAAGCCTCCTCTAAATGGCAAAAAGAACATTTTATCATAGACAAGTCACCAGCAAAGCAAAAATATAATCATCGATTTACTTCATTAAACCACATTTGAATTAATATCTTCATC